GCAGGGAAGACGTGTCCAGCGCCGCCTGCCATTCCGGCCGCCGCCCGACCCGCGGCTCCAGCGCCCCGACCACGACTTCCCAGGAGACGCATCGCCCCCGTCCGCACGCCGTACGTGCGCCCGCCTCTGGAGCGAACGCTGGCCGACGGACCGCTGCCCGGACCGGCCGCCCTTCCCGTGATCATCGACCTGGACACGCCCCCGGAGTCGCCGAAGCACCGCGTGAAGACCGGAGTACCTCGAGCCCGAGGTGTGCCGACGATCAAAGCTGATCGCCGGCTTCGCGTCGACCCGAAGCTCCTAAAGGAGCTTTTCGGGGAAGACGCCGAGTAGAGCGTCTGCTCCTCGCACTTAATTTAAAAAAGTCCACCCGACTCGCTGCCGGGTGGCACTACAAAAAACCTCAGCCAACAGGCAAGCAGCGGAGCCTCGCACCCCGCCGGTGCGAGACTTACAGCAGTATGTACTACTACACATTCGTTCTGTTACGCGACACTTCTTCTCCGGACCTGTTGCCGCGAGCACGTACTACTACAAAACTGTTTCTCAACTTATTATTTTAATAAACTATTTACATTATTATAAGTGGTGTGTCGTTATTTTACTCAAACAGGTTATGGGCCCAGGTGCGTATCAAGAACGGCCTGACATAAAAAAAGTGAATTCTGAGCTACGACAGTGAAACGTTTTCTGTTCTCGCGATTCTGAAAGGGCAACGGGGAGAAAAGATGGCCGACAGCGGAGCCAACAAAAACGATGACTATAATCGTGTGAGTGTTCGCCGATTAAAATCTGAGGATCAGTGGCAGACCTGGAAATGGCAGATAGAGTTATGCCTTCACGAACAAGGTCTCTATGACATCGTGTCCGGTGGACGAGTACGCCCGGACGCTCCAAAAGATGAAGCTGCGGCATCGACCGAGTACAAAACTTGGCTTAGCGACAACGCTCGAGCAGCACGGATGGAACCGCGCTGGAGGAGGAGGCCGCCATGTACGTTCGAAAAAAGAACAACGCCAAAGAAATATGGGATACACTGAAGTCGGTCTACGAGCAATCATCGCTGCAGAGGTTATACACTCTTTTCGATACGTTCTATGAAATTCAGAAAGATGACGCCACTTCCATCAAGAAACATGCAACTCACCTCTCGAACGTGTTTGATGATATAATTGAAGAGCTCAAGAAGAAGGATGCGACTGCAACTTTACCGGCGTCAATTCTACATCACAGGATTTTTAAAACGCTCAGTCATGATTATCAGTTCTATCGATCAACGTGGTATCGTATACCTGAAACTGAGCAAACTACAAATCTTTTAATTGAAAACTTGGTGGCAATAGAGAGTTCAATGAGAACACAGACTCCATCGTCAACGGCCAGTGCATTTCATATGAAAGCTTCAAAGTTCAAGCAGAAAGAAAATACGAGTAAAAAGTCAACAGCTTCTTCAAGCAATTCAGAAAGGAAAGAAAAACGTCAGTGTCATTATTGCAAAAAGACTGGTCATCTTATCGCAGTGTGTCAGAAAAGAATAAATGCAGAAAAGAATTCAAAAGAAAATTCAGAGTCTGATTCTAGAAATAATGATTATAAACCAAGTACGTTTCTTGCAACTAGTTTAACAGTCAACCCTGACTTAGTATCTTCAGAAGCTTGGATATCAGATTCAGGAGCTACAAATCATATGTCTGCAAATAGACAACACTTTGCAACATATACCTCATTTCCAATACCTCAACGTGTTGAAACAGCAAATATGAATATAATTCTAGCCTGTGAGAGACTCGGTCACTAAAAATTACAAGACATAATCTAACTTGAAATCTTCCGCTCTTTTTGAATCTGCAATAAAAATTGGGGGTCACCGTGGAAAAAACGATTTTTCTCAATATTTTGTACGCTGTAGCTTTGAGGTTATGTTCAAGGTCAAATTTAAGGTCACCAATCGATTCCCCGTTAAAAAATACATAAAATACATGGGTTCGTAAATTTTTTCAAATTTTTTCATTATTTTTATCGTTAAGAATCAAATCTTTAGGTTTTTTCCATTTAAAATACATGTAAGCTTCAAGCCGCTTGGGGGGCACCTTAAAATCATTTTTTCGACCTCTAAAGACCGGCTTTCTCATTGTCTAATCAAATAGAAGACATCTAGGTGGGGGGAGAAGCAATACAAAAAAGTCGGGAAATAACGGACACCCTAATGTACATTCGCCAAGAAAACTCGGAAAAGCTACTAGTGGCAATATATGTGGACGATGGCCTCATCGCGGGATCGACACAAAGTGCTGTAGACTCTTTCCTGAATCTGCTCACATCGGAATTTAAAATCACCACAGGGTCACTAGACTCGTTCCTCGGCATGCATATCCAAAAGCATAAATCAGGCTTCGAAATCACTCAGAGAACCTACGCGAAGAAAATTTTGGAGAAATTCGGAATGTCAAAATGCAACGCATCAAAGACACCTGTGATTAATCAGCAGCTTTTCACGGGAGAAAATGATACTTTAGACGGAAAAATTCCTTATCGCTCTGCAGTAGGTTCTCTAATGTACTTATGTTGCGCTACGCGCCCGGATATAGCGTATGCCGTGTCAAGAGCTGCCAGAGCACTGTCATCTCCTACGGACCAAGATTGGATAGCTGTAAAAAGAATTTTTCGATACATCAAAGGTACTATTGATTTTGGACTGTGTTATACGTCATCTACTGAAGGACTCTGCGCTTATACCGATGCTGACTATGCTGGTGACTTGAAGACAAGAAGATCAACCAACGGTTTTGTTGCCATGATTGGAAACGCTGCTGTTTCTTGGACCTCCCAGCTACAAAAATCGGTTGCACTTTCGACTACTGGAGCCGAATTTGTTGCTGCCAGTGAGGGAGCAAAGGAGCTCGTGTGGCTCAATAGGTTGATGAGTGAAATTCATTCTCAAGAAAAACATACTCCTACACTCTTCGTCGACAATGCTAGTGCAATTAAATTGGTGAAAAATCATGAGTTTCACAAACGCACTAAGCATATCGAGGTCCGCTACTACTACATACGAGAACTTTATCTCAAGGGTGACATAAGGCTTGAACATGTTTGTTCAGAAGAACAGCTAGGATACATGTTCACCAAACCATTGACTTATGTTAAATTCAATAATATGTGTAATAATATTGGACTGCGTGAGTGTAAGATATACTAAGGCTTTAATTTGTTTAATTATATATTTTTGTTAGTGCAGATTAAGGGGTGGTATTAAAATTATACATCTGACTACTATTGTAATCTGCACTGTGTGCTTGAATAAGTGCTGACACCTACGGTGTCAGTATGTACTACTACACATTCGTTCTGTTACGCGACACTTCTTCTCCGGACCTGTTGCCGCGAGCACGTACTTACTACAAAACTGTTTCTCAACTTATTATATTAATAAACTATTTACATTATTATAAGTGGTGTGTCGTTATTTCACTCAAACAAAGCCCGCCGCTTTACTCTATCTACACAGCCAAACTAGACTCCGTTATAAGTAAGAAAATGAAAATACTGCAGTTCGCAGATGATGTGGTCATAACAGCGTCTGGAAGTTGCATCGAGGACCTGACCCACCAACTCGAAAGAAGCGCTCAAAGGATGTTCTACTTCCTTGGAAAAAGGGGACTGGAGCTAGCTCCAAATAAGTGTCAACTAGTTATTTTCAACAAAAACTCCGTGGAAATCAATCAGACAAAGATCAGGCCCTCCAAGCAGGCCCGTTTTCTAGGAGTAATATTGGATAGCAAATTGACTTGGCGCGATCACATAGATAGTCTAATAGCGAAATTTAAACTACCTCTTAATATAATAAGCTGCTTACGCAGGACATGGTGGATCGGAGATCCTAAAACCTTACTACTCTTATACAGGGGGCTGATTGCTTCCCGCATAGAGTACTGCGGCTTTCTTTTATCGCCATGTACAGATGCGAATTTTCGAAATCTCAAGTCTATTCAAAATCAAGCCATAAGCCTCTCCATGGGTTAAAGAGAAAGCTCACACCTGTCAACGTTATGTTGGCTGAATCCAATATACTAGATCTGGAATTTAGGATGGAATTCCTGGCTTATAAGTACATTATGAGATCACTCGCTATTGAGAATAATCCAGTAATAATCAACCTGGAAAATCTTCTTGAAACGGCAAACAACCCAACTAAAAACTTCAACTACTCCAAGTCATTACTAGTTAATTGTTTTGAGAACAATTGGTTTTTAAATGGACTGATTGAATCGTCACCTCGTCACCACCTATACTGTTTTCCACATAATATTCGTTTTCAAAATTTGAACGTCGACGTGAGGACGGGAGATGTCCTGCAAAAATCTACACATCCGAACAACGAATTTTTAAACATATTTGACAAATATGATAATTACACTTCAAGCTTCGCTCTTCCAGATTATACACATATACATGTAGTTCCTTCGATGATCGCTAGATGACACGACGTCCTTATGAGATAAATGTGAAAACTTGAGGCCGCGGTGGCTGTGGGGCTTGAGCTCTTGCTTCTCAACCGAGAAGTCGGGGGTTCAAATCCCGGCGGTGGGCTGGTTTTTTCCCGAGGATTTTTTCTGCGGGGTTTGCACCGTTACCGTGGAAATTTTCCTTGGAAAAAAGCCGGTGCACTTCAACTGCGGTCTCTGGTGTTGGGGGTCACACCATTATCAAAGCGTAACCTCAGTGGTATGGGAGGCGCAACCAAATCGACTATAGGTACACGCTAATACACTAACACACACACTTACATATACACGCAAGACCCACCGGTAGGTAGAACGGTGAGGTTGGCCAATTAGCCTAGTAGCAGAAAGCTGGGCCGTAATCAACTAAAAAAAAAAAAAATTTGAAAACTTGGCTATGGTGGGGGCGTGGAGGCTTGCCTCCGTGTCCGTCCCCACTCCACGCTCATACATTTTTTCGTTTCTGGATGCACATCGTGTGCGATTATCACCTAAACAATGAACGTTCCCGAATTAAACAAGAAGTTCAAGGCAGTGAAGAAGATGGGTGAGGAGATGCAGGCCATTATAGGAGATCTGAGTAAAGTATTCGAGCAAGAACCGAGAGAGGAAGAGAAACGCAAGCGCAAATCAAGTAGGAGCGAGGAGTCATCGGATTCTGACTCTTCTTCGGACTCGAGTGGCGCAACATCACCGACCGGGACCTGTGACGAGGATGAGCGTCCTAGGCAGAAGAGACAGAGTAAGTAGAAGAGGACGTACATACACCGCACGTGGGTGTACAGTGTTATTAATCTCGCATCGTAAATGAAAGGTGGCACGTTATCGTGATTCTTTGTTAAAACTGCCGTTGCAATAAGGCGGCCCTAGCGGCATACCGGCCTATGCGCCACAGAGTCAGATGCGTGTGTTTTTCCTCGCCAGTACGCTTTTCTGAGAAGAACCTCCGCGTTCTTGTTGGTGTCATGCGCACGACGCATAAAGGCCATGAAACGCATAAACGCAGCGAAAGAGCAGACAGTCCTTGCGACGTATAGGCCTCGAGCCAAGCTATCGAAATAATAAATTACCTGGTCCTAGCGACATATTGGCCTTGCGCCGTTTTTTCGTTATTATAGCGGAATTGCAGTCATACTAATTATTGTGTATCTTCCTAATAGAAAATGGAGATGGATCTTCGGACAAGGAGAATAAGTCGGCCGGTTCAAGCGCGGAACTGTCGAAGGAGATGCAAGCAGTCTTGGTGGATGATCCAGGCAAGTCGAGCGCTATTAAAGTAGACATCCATGAGAAGCTTCTCAATAACCTAAAATACTATTACCGCTTGGTGTTGGAAGAGAAAGAAAAACTCGTCGGAAAGTATGAAGTACCCGAGGAATTTAAGGCGCCTGAACTCAATCGACAGCTGATATCCCAACTAAAAGAAAAAACCTTGAAAAAGGATGAGTACAAATATGATACTCAGAAATTATTGGCCTCAGCGCTTACCGCCTTAGGGGCAGGTCTCGCAATAATTAATGCTGGTCTCTCCGAGGGAGTTGATGCTAATACCTTTGTGGAACTTATCTCTGATGTTGCCAAACTACTGACAGAGGCGCTATACAGCCAAACTCAATCAAGAAGAGCTTGCATTATCCCGCTTATAGATTCAAAGAAAACTCGAGATTTTTTGAAGCAAACAAAGCCAGACTCTTCATCATTTGGATCCAACCTCGAATCTGAAATGAAGAAGTTCAAAGAAGCTGAAAGCATATTCGAATCTAAAAAGCAATCTGCTTCGACTTATACCAAGCCCCAGGGAAACGGAAAGCGCCCGTTCGACAGAAGGCCACTATCGAACTATCAGGGCAATTCCAATACACCTACCACAGGACAGGCCCGACAAAAGCTTTATTTCAAAAGATACAACCAAGGGTTCAACCAGAGATTCAACAACAAGATGAAACCATACCAGAGGTTTAACAATTGGAAGAACCAGAACAATTAATTGATAATGTAAGTGTCCCAGTAGGGGGCAGGCTTAAACAATTTTACGAACAATGGGCAAAATTAACTAATAATAGTTTCGTATTAAACTCAATTCGTGGTTATAAGATTCCATTCGTTTCTCGACCGAAGCAAAAGTTTTTTGAGAGTAGGTCGATCAAGGATGATAGCACCAGAAAAATTGTAAAGAAAGCGGTGTTAGATCTGGTTAAAAAACAAGCTGTTGTACAATGTAAGAGCGAGAAGGGGCAGTTCTTGTCAACTTTTTTTACGGTCGAGAAACCAGATGGGTCGCAAAGGTTTATATTGAACCTCAAGAAATCAAACAAATTTGTACAGATCGAGCATTTTAAGATCGAGGATTTGAAATTAGCAACTAAGCTTATAGCTCCGGGTGATTTGATACTATCGATAGACCTTAAAGATGCGTATCTTACTGTGCCGGTTCATGAGAAATATCAAAAATACTTAATGTTCAAATTTGAGGGTAACTATTATAAGTTCGTCTGCCTCCCGTTTGGTCTCAGCACAAGCCCATACGTTTTTACAAAGATTCTAAAACCGATAGTCATCTCTTTACGATCCTCGGGTCTTCTGTCTGTGATTTACTTAGATGATTATTTGTGTATTGGAAATTCTGAACAGGCATGCGCAGCACATGCAGAAAAAGCTATTAAACTTTTCCAGAGTTTAGGTTTCCTGGTCAATTTTGAAAAATTGTGTAAAGTACCAAGCAATAAAGTCAAGTTTCTAGGGGTAATAATAGACTCAGTAAACGGTACCTTAGAACTAACAAACAAAAAGAAAGAGAAATTGTTGTCTTCGTTACGTGCCATACATAATAAAATAGCCTGCACTATCCATGATATGGCCAAAATAATAGGCAAACTAGTTGCTGCGTGCGTTGCAGTTCAGTACGGCTGGATATATATCAAAGTCATGGAAAGAGAGAAAACAATTGCTCTAAATATTGCGAAGGGAATATATAGCCGAAAAATGCTCATGTCAAAAAGTATTAAAACAGATATTGAATGGTGGATCGAAAGCCTCCCACTCGCAAAAAGAAATTTTCGATCCGAAGCTTTCGAGCTTACCATATTTACAGACGCGTCGGATGTCGGTTTGGGGGCTAAGCTGACGCGGCAGAAGCTTGCGGACTTTGGACAATGCAAGAACTCCGTGAGCACATAAATTTCAAAGAATTATTAGCGGTGAAATATGCGCTTGAAGCGTTACCGATTAACGGTGCTTATAATTGCTCGATTCTCCTTAGGATCGATAATTATCGATAATTATAATTGTACGGCCATAGCATACGTAAATAGGATGGGGGTGTACGTTTTGAAAAACTCAACTCATTAGCCAGACGGATTTGGCAATGGGCGGAAGCCAGGAAAATACTCTTAAAAGCTTCGTACATACCCTCAAAGTTGAACACAGATGCAGATAGACTCTCTAGGCTATGTAACCAAGACTCTGAGTGGACCCTTGCAGATAGCGCTTTCTCCGCAATAGTGGAAAAACTGGGCCAGCCACAAATAGATATTTTTGCCTCCAAGGCAAATAAAAAGTGTAACACCTAGCTATTTTGCGCGCTTCCCGGATGGCGAAGCAGCGCAAGTAGACGCTTTTTCGGTTTCGTGAGTCAGTATTTACTTTTATGCTTTTCCTCCATTCGTTTTGATCGCAAAAACTCTCGAGAAAATTAGGATGGAAGGGTCACACGGTATACTGGTGGTACCAAAATGGACGAATCAACCATGGTACCCTCTGTTTGCAAAAATGATAGAAAGCAAACCCATTATTTTTTACCCAAACATTAATCTCCTTTCATTATTGTGCAGGGACAGACACCACCCGAGAGCCCGCGACCTACATTTGATAGCAGCGATTGTATCAGGATAGCGCTCTAGAGAGATGGAATAACAGACGAAGCAGTATCTATTATGCAGGCGTCTATTGGTAAATCTACTACTAAACACTATAAGTCTAGTTTGAGAGCGTGGAAAACCTTTTGTGAGAATAAGGGTATCGATGTGTTCGACCCCAGGCCTAATGAAGTTATTCTTTTTCTAATGGATAGATTTAATCAAGGTAAATCTTATTCTAGTCTGAACACAGACAGGTGCGCTATATCCTTTATATCAAAAGGACAGATAGGCAAAGATAGGCTAGTCGCAAGATTTATGCTGGGCTGCTTACACCATAGCCAAGTTTTCAAATTTATCTCATATGGACGTTGTATCATCTAGCGATCATCGAAGGAACTACATGTATATGTGTATAATCTGTTCGAGCGAAGCTTTCGTATAATTACGATCGCACTTCACTTACAGGTAAGTTCGTACGATCTTAACTTTTTCACACATTTATACTGACGGCTCAAAAATCCGAGAAGAAAGCCGATTTCAGGTAGGTTTTTCGATGTGGAGTGAAAACTTGTTTACACTTGCTTACAAATTGCCCAACGACTCATCGATCTTTACTGCAAAATGCCTGGCTGTTACTACAGCGGTTGAGGAAATAATGAAATCAGATAAAAGCAACTTCAGAATTTTTACGGACTCTCAAAGTGTGCTGGTGACCTTGAGTAACCCACACACTGCGATCTCACTCAAGCTTAAATTCAAGATTATTGAAGCTCAGATAAAAGGAAGGACATTAAGCTCATTTGGATCCCGTCTCATGTGGGCATTTATGGGAACGAACAGGCCGATATTTCAGCTAAGACCGCAGCCAAAGAAGGGAAACTCATGAATGTGCCAATTCCTCATACTGACTTAGTCTCCAGGTTCAAACAAGATATCAAAGAAAAACACAATAATAATCTCAAACTCTCAGGACGATTGAAAGGATGTGAATATTTCAATCGTTTTTACAATGAAGGAGCAACTGATCCGTGGTTCTACAAATTTGACTCCATCAATAGAATAAGAAGCAATCACTCCTCGTTAAACAGCAGTCTACACAAGTAGGGAATTGTCCCATCCGATTTTTGCTGTATAATTCACCCAGGAAAATAATGCTAAAGGAAATAAGAAAAATTCTTCTATACGGTTCCTACTCAATTCGTGCCTTCTTGGCCGAAATGGAAAACAATATCATTTTAATAATAAGTAAATTTATAGACCAACTAGATATAAATATATAACGAATATTTAAATACAACTCTAGATCATTTTTATCAGGTAGCTATTAGTTTGTATATAGCTTAAACATTTATCATGTTAGCATATATCGGTATATGTTCTTGTTTTAATTTTTGATTGTAAAACTTTCTATACTTTCATATTTGAATTTATGTTTTTCTGTTTCTCAAATTTCATATTTAAAGGCATCAGTAGGCACTAGAGAGACGCCTATTACATATGGGCAATTTCATGTATCTATCAATTAATCTATGTAAACTATGTCTGTATACTCTTAGTTGGTTAAAGACAATAAACCTACTATACTACTACCAATACAGTTGGCTATGTATCTAACGGTGAGGCCAATAAATAAACTACTACAATACAGTTAGGCTTACGATAAATTCGGTAGCAATTGAAAAATGTGTCCAAGCTTAGTATGGGCGTGGCCTACATCTCCACGTGTATTGTAATACATACGAGTATGTGGAATTACGCAGGGTTTTTTAAAACTTTCTGATCTTATGGGATTTTTGATGACTCATGCTGCACTTTGTCACGTAGCTAGTGAATATTATCTCTCGTTTTTTACTTTCTAATAGCTTCAAGCACGTGGAACACAGCGTCCACTATTATATAGTCAATATACATCGAGAAGCACATCTACCAAGATTATATCGACGAGTTATTTTCGTAAGGAAAAATTTTTTTATCTTTTATTACAACAGATTACAACAGATTTTTGTGTGAAAATGTGCAAAAAAATGAACAGCTAGGTGGAGATTTTGACTATCAACCAGGGTGGCCCACTCAGAGCCTCAGGTCGCAGTCTAGACTCGGCGATGACTTTCCCCGAGGAAGTCCTCGTTTTTTCGTAAGATTATCCTTCCGGATGGCACGATCAGTGCTCTAGATATAAATGCGGTCTCGGATGACTATCCCTGAGGAAGTCTTCGTTTTTACGCAAGATTATCCTCCCGGGTGGTGCGATCGGTGCTCTAGGTATAAATTCAATTAATAGTTATTTATGTAACAAGTGCCCAAAAGGCGTTTTTGGGCACGAGTGTGCGTAAAAAAACACGAGTGCCGGCCATGCCGGCACGAGTGGGTGTTTTTTGCGCACACCGTGCGCAAAAAGCTGGGCACGTGTTGCATACAAAATTTTATGCAATAGGAAACGAAAAATACTTTCATTTAAATGAGGCGTTTTACCGCACACCCGTGTCCAAAATGAGGCATTTTACCGCACACCAGTGTCGAAACGAGGCATTTTACCGCACACAAGTGTCCAAAAACGCTTTTTGCGCACTAAAAAGTGTGCGAAAAAAGACATTTTTCGTCATACTATTGCATAAAAGTATTTTTTACACTACTCGCGAGCAAGAACTTCGCATGTCTTATGTAAAGATACTATCGGCCCAGTGTCGTAGCGACGACACTGGGCCGATAGTAACGTGCGAGCAAGTCTCGGCCCTCGTGGGCCATCGGAAAGTGCCCAACGCGTGCGTAAGCGGCCACAGGGCCGTATCGTAAGCCGAAGATTGTAATTCGCGTATTATTTGTTATCGTTTGCCCTCGTGGGCCTTAAATAAAGATAAATCAATTAATCGTAAAGGAACGCGTGTCAATTCATTTCGCTTGACCTATTTGAGAATTTCAGGTATCAGAAGCCTAAGCGAAGGAAGGTGAGTGAACGGGCTCACGGCTCGCCCGTGCTGGTGACGGGCCCAATATCCCCTCTGGGACTCGAGTCAGGTAAACCGGGCCCCCATAAATAAAGTGCTCGGCAGTCGAGCTGAATTACCCACCCGGGGTAGGCTGTCCGTCGCACTCTATTAAATTATTTTTTTAAACTTAGTGTTTTTATGGTTGGATTTCATTACTATCATAGATAAGTAGTAGTTCAATCGCAATTTGCTTTCCGAAATGAGAAAAAAAAAAATTTGGAGGTAGACTCAAATTATGAGGATAAGACTGTCATACTTGCACTCCCCTAATCTTTTGAAAAAAAGTATTACCACGTTTTTGAATACTTCTATAGTAATGTTTTGGTTGTAATCATAGTTTGAACCAAGAAAATTTCAGTTGTGTTATAAATAGTTGTCAGAATATATTTGATTTAATTACTGTCATAGATAGAAACCAACTAATTAAGACTTTTCCAAATTAAGAAAAAAAATTGGTTATTAGACTTAAATTTCTTTATTACGGCGTATTGAATTCGTACTTCTAGTCTTTACACTAACAAGGAGACCACCCTAACTCCGGGTCATGGATTTACTCCAATGGGGTGGTCTTCTTGTTAATACAGGTGCTGGTGTCCCGTGGGAGGTAAAAGGTAGTTTGTGACTTCAGAATTACACGGAAAAAAATTTGCGTGTGTTTAGTTCTCACTCAAGTCGTATAAAGCCCCTATGTAGTGCGGGGAGAATTAATAACTGTATTGGTGTAATGCAACTCAATTTTGGGTAGGATTCGCACCTACACATCTGAAGTACAATATGCCCCGCTATACTATTTTTTCAATGTTCGTCGTCTCGCGGAATCTTTCTTAGATGGCCGAATTTTGTTTTTGTTTTGGGCGCGAAATCCTTCCGGTTGGGATGAAAACGATACCGACATCTCGGGCGATAGCGCAACCACACCACGTTACATTTCGTAACCAAGCGGGAGTATAATAGCCTTGAATTTTTTTCAGTGTATAAGAATTTTTAAGACCTATTCAGACTTTTAAAGATTTTGTAAGAGTTTTGAAGAATTAAAGTGGCGATGAATTTCCATAGGGGTAATAAATGTTTAAAATTTATGTTCAATTAAGTTAAAAATCCAAATGTACGAAGAGTATCTCTTCAGACGACTCAATTAAGAATTTTTATTAATTATATGACGAATTTCTCTGTATTATGTCACTGTTACGTATTGGAAAAATATTTTAAAAAACGTCCAAGTAATACTTCCAATAGGCAAAGTTGACAAAATTGAGAGTCTTGCTGGAGTCAATGATTGATGTGCTCGTGCATTGGCCCGTTGACCTTATAATATCGCTCGTCTCTTTATTTTTGAGAAGTCGCAGCCACCACAAGTTTTATGTTTTATGGCGTTTTATGTTTTATGGCGAAGTTTTATGGCGGAGTCGCCAGTTCACTTCTCACCTGTTCACAGATGTCGCTAAACATCTCGGCATTCAGCTTCGTCATACCAGTAGTTGGCATCCACAGAGCAACGGGATTGTCGAGGTTTTTCATCTACACTTGAAAGCTTCGCTCCTGGCCCATCAACACGAAAATTGGCTCGAAGCTCTTCCTCTCGTGCTGCTTGGTATTCGCTCAGCTTTCAAAGAGGACATCTCGTCGACTGCAAGCGAAATGGTTTACGGTGAGACGCTGCGCCTACCCGGTGAGATGCTAAAAACTTCGACTCCTGCTCACATCACGGATCCAGCGAGTTTACTACATCGTCTTCGTGCAATATTTCACCGTTTGCAACCGGTACCAGCCTCCAGGCATTGCAAGCCTCGCGTATTCGTTTTTCAAGATTTGCGTGACTGCGATTACGTCTTCTTGCGCGACGACAAGATTTCGAAAGCTTTGGTGAACACACCTTTTACCGGCCCTTGGAAGGTGTTAGAACGCACAGAGAAAATTTTCAAGCTCAGCATTCGTGGAAAAGCTGTCACCGTGTCAATCGATCGCTTGAAACCTGCCTACGTGTTGGGCGACGACGTGTATTCAATTTCTGTGGACAATCCAGACCTTGACACTACTTCGGCCGTTTCCTGTGCC